TAGAAACTTGAAAAATAAATACTTGTAAAGTACACAAACATGCACTGCTGATAATCGTGTGACGGCATCATTTGGATTATTTTACTGACTGTATGACCACAAGCTCCTGACAACAGTAATATACTAAGATCAAAGTCGCATCCATATAAACACGTGCACACACACTTCTTCAAACACACACACACACACAAGGTAAGCTGTGTGTGAAACCAGTTTACACCCATCAAACTTCAGATAATCCATGTGCCAGATCTAAGATGAATCTGTGTAATATTGATTCTGTTCGAGCGCCGCACTGGTCCGCTAACAACCCATGAATAAGTGAGCGTGGAGGACACTTATCCTCAGCGTGTGTTACGCTTACATGTTTCCCCTCGCTTTTAAGTTCAACAGGATTTCCGTTCACTCAGGTGAAGATTTGGCGAGTCTCTCATCGCCTTTCTTAAGAGAGCGAGAGAAGTTAAAGTCGGCTCGTGCTTCATTTAAAGACCTGGTTTAATTTAAGTTTTGTCCACGTTGAATATTTGTATTTACATCTATTACGTCTATTTAAGCTTTCATGTTCCACCTGACCAAAGAAGACTCATAATACATGTGCATGTTGTACAGTTGAAAAGCATGATAAGCTGTATTTGATATGTCCCAGACAAGTCAACGTAAAAAAAAATAGCGCCTTACCGACATTATCTTAATTTGCAAATCATTAAAATTACATGTTAGGTCTTCGGTAAAGCCAGCCATTAGGAATTATGGACAGGGGGTGAACAGTGTAAACTATAACAAATTCTAAGTGTTATCAGATACATGTAAATGGCATATAAACACACTATTTAAATGATTAGGAAATACATTTTAGTATTTCTTTAATTAATAAACAGTACTTTAATTTGTGTGTGAATCATTTCATAACGGTCCAGTTACACACTAGCTATAAACTGACGTTGTAATGTTTCGTTTAGTGAGTCAAATTCACCAAATTTGGAACATGAGATTTCCTTTTAAATTTAAATAGTTTCGCTAATCAAAACAAACCACATATTTCACAGCCCTCTGCAAACCAAACTGTGATTTCCAAATGACAAACATCTGGTAAACGAGACGCTGCCACCATTCGGCATCTACGTGTCAGCATGGCTCGGAAATCACTTTGTAAAACAGGCTCCGAGTCATTTTTTCAGAAAGAAAATATGTTAAACTCACTGATAAAATAAGCCATACTCCGAGTCCGACAACAGTTTTCTAGCTAGTGGATTTAGTTTTTATCTGTTGATGTCTCGTCTACTCTCCAGCTTTTTTCTGACAGCCAGGACCAGCAGTCTGGTAACAAGTATCACAACACAGGGGCTCTCCAACATCTGCCTCCAGTTATCACAGCTCTCCCTTGCGCTCTGCCACCACAGCAACACACACACACACACACTCTCTCTCCGTCACTCAGCGTCTGGCCACAGTGTGTTTTCGCCACTGTTCCCCTCAGGTTTTTCTGGTAAAGGGCCATTTTAGTCCCAGCTCAGGGCCGCGGGGGAAAGCGTCTCCCTGAGGAAAATAAGCACGCCTCGCTCCAGTGAAGACATCTGCCCTTTGAACGCAGCGCGGCTGTTTGAACAGCTGTCAGAGTCTCAGACATTCCCTGATAAAACACAGGGAGGGAGACAGGAGACACTAAATGGACAGAGAGAGTCGGCCACTGGCAAAGGAAGAGGAAGAGGGAGAGGAGGGTGTGCACACCTGCTTGTTGTACGGAGGAAACTGTGAGAGGAACGACAGCACCTGCACACCTGGGCTCAGAAGAGTGGCTCAACAAGTAACATGCCATTTGTTTCTGTCCAAATGTTTCTTTTAAAGACAGCACATATAAAAAATTTACTCCTGGTTAAAAAATACTCAAAGTTTAAGTTCATTCTGTTGGTGCCCAGTGACCAAATCCAGTTTGCATTGAAGGAATACTTCATCCAAAACGTATCTCTTGTTCAACAATTACTCTCCTGTGTGGAGAAAGAATAAAAAAACATAGTAAAGGCTTGATGAATTTAAGGAAACCGGGGCTTAACTAAAGCAAAACTGTTAAAACCATCTGTAAACTGTCACATCTGTAAACTTGTCCCTATAGCATGTTTTAAATTGAAGTTGTCTGAGGTCCTTACCACCAGCTGCTGTTGCAGTAATAAGTAGTACCTTTCCTACTGTCCTAATGTGCACAATGTAGTGACTGCTTTTCGTTTACTTAGTTGAGTTCTCTGTATTTTATATGTCTGTGTTATGTGTAGAAATGTGTAACGTTGCTGCCTTCTTGGCCAGGTCAGCATTGTAAATTCGATTTTATCTCAATGCTTTTTATCTGGTTAAATAAAATTAAAATAAATATCTTCCTTTCGCCACCTCAATACTTCCCAAACATACAACTTATTACTAAAATCGTACTATTTAAAACACTCACTTTTGTGAAAACATGCTAGTCGTCCGGGCGAGTCGAAGTGTTTCAATTAGTCAACATTTCAAG